TGTCCTGTCTGGCATTGTGACACTTAGAATTATTGTCTGAGTGTCAAAGTGATGCCCAACAGATTTACTTTCACAAGCAGAGCATTATGGCTGGCCTTAATGCTCTGCTTGATATATAAATTAAATTTTATTAGAATTTGTTTTTGGCTTGTTTCAGATGTAATGGACATGGGGATGAAAAACAAAGAAGACAAAGCAGAAAAGTGAGAGAAGTGTTAAACGGTAAAGAAGGAGATAGGAATAGAGGAGAGAGAGACATCGATAAAGAGAACACAAATCAACATCATTGAAGTCTGTCTCTAGACCTGCGGAAAGAGAAAAAAAACAAGACAAAACAGAGAAACCACAACAACAAACAGCTTATATAATGATACTTGTAACATCATTAGAAAGTATTTTATACAGTACATGGTAATACAAGATATATTTAGTGGCCTCCACAACCCAACTGAGTGTGAATCTGATAAACACCTGAATCTAACCACCTGTGTGAGCATGCTGTCACTATAAGGTTTCTCCATAAAAATGTTCAATAGTGGATGTGGGGACCCACAGACCTGTCCCCACAGGACACGAAGGTGACACAGGGAAGACCAGAGCCACAGACACACAGCAGCCCCCAAACCTGGAGCTCCGGGAGTCCCCCAACAGGGACACCCGCACCCCACAGAGAGAGAAGCAAAGGGAAGCCCCGGGCGACCCCCAGCAGCTACAATGCAGAAACCCCAGGAGGCTGCAGTGATGAGTCCACAGGCCCCGCTGGCAACCCGCCCCTCCAGAGTGGATCTGGTCATGGACACCGAGCCTTGAGGTCATACCACCCCCCAACAGAGGCCCGACAGAGCCAGAGCACCCAGGCCCCGGCAGGCAGTCACCAGGGTGGACCGGCACACACCCCACCACCCAGCCCCAGCTGCTGAGAGCCGCCAATGCACCGGTGGCAGGGGGGCCCACCACCGGAGGGGAGCACGACAGGGGGAAGTTGACCCCACATTAAATGGGGGGCCCAAATTGATCCAAGAGAGGGGACCACCTAAAACCCAACCCGAGACATAAACAGGCACACACAGACAGTCCGACAGAGCCTCTGTCAGGTCATCCATGCGCCCCACCCGACCGCAAGCTGCCCCCAGGCCAGGGGCCAGATCAGCAGGGAGCAGCAGCTGAGGAAGGCCAGCCCAAAGCACCAATGATCAGGCATCCCAACAGCCCCACACCACAGGCCCAGAGAAGCCCCGGCATGCCACCCATGCACCTCCCCACACACACAGCACCCCCAATCTCGACTGTCCCATCAGGCCGACCAGCCAGCACCCCGTCAAAACGAAGCCACGCCCTCGACCGCCGCCATACACCACCAAGACCACACACACACAACCACAGCTGACCCCCTGCCGGAACCCGGCAGCCACCCCAGCCAAAAGGGCCGGCCACTGCAACCAGGAACCCTGATCAAAAGATCCAAACAACCCAGGGAGAACCGGAGCACCGGCCCCACCCCCAATCGACCCCCAAGGCCCAACACCCACCCACAGCGAGAGATGAGAGTCTGTGATGGAGTTAAATTCAAAGCAGTCTGTTCCTCAGATAAATAATGTTAAATTATTATTTATATATATATAAATGTTTCTGTTCAGTTCCCTGAGATGACGTCTGTTGTGACTTAGCGCTGTATAAATAAACTGAACTGAATTCATTCAGACATTTTTTTTCTTTCAATTATTATTATTATAATTATTATTTTTTGGCACCAAAGTTTTGAAATGTTTTGATTAGCACAAGCTCATAGTTGCAAGTTGTGATAAATGAACAAACAAATAAATAAATAAATAGTGCTTGAGCTATTATATATATATATATATATGTGTGTGGACTGTTGTGGCCTTTTTTCTTCTTTGATTCAACCTTGCCACCTGCTGGTCATAAAACTACATTAGAATTGGTTTAAAGGCTGTTTTTAATATTATTCTAACCTCCTAGGACCTGACATCCACATATGTGATATAGGAATAAATAATGCATGTCAAGCAAGAATTCGGGTCTTAGGCTTAAAGTTTCTTCAACGTTCAGTATGAGATGGTGAAGCAGATCTTTCATGTGTTCAAACATTAAGGTGACGGTGACATTATGTTGTTACCGTTCACTGTTTCTCATTTTTTTATTCTGTTTTCTTATTCGATTTGTTTTCTCGCTGCCTGTAGAGACCACGTGAATATTTTCACCACTGATTAGGATCATAAGTGGAAGTCAACACGTTTATAAATTAATTCACTTGACTTGAGTTTATTGTCGATGCTGATCAGTTCAACAGTTTCATTTAACAGTAGTGGTGTCAACATTTGTCTGAATTTGTTAAATGGTGTGAAAGAAATCTAGTTGAAGCCAGAAAAACAAATTAATTTTCAAAGTAGGTAAACATTTGAACTAAAATATTCACCGACATGTGGATCACAGCATCCCTGTTCTGATATTCTCACTTTATTTATTCTTTTATTGTTTATCTGTAAAGAATCAAGTGTTAAGTATTAAAATATAGACTGAAACATTTATAGCCTGGCCTAATTTTCAGTTCTTGTTATACATGAGTCTTTAGCAACATCAAATTAAACCATTCAAAATACAGTTTATGAAAAAATAAAATATTATATTGTAAAACAATTCATAAAAGAATAAAACAAATTAAAATGACATCATTAAAAGTCTGGCAGGTGTTCCTGGTTCTCCTTCCAGCCTGTTAGATGTTAGACAGGTAGGCTTGGTACGTTTTTGAAAACGAGATATTAAAATCACACCTGTACTTTTTTTTTCATTCATTCAACCTTAATTTCTACAAGTTAGTCTCATTGAGTCACGAGGACTCGTTTACAAGAGAGACCTGTTTAAAACAAGGTACAGACAACAGTAGACAATCATATAAAAAGAAACGTAAATAGAAGAAATAATATATATATATATATATATATATATATATATATATATATATATATAAAATCACCAGTTCATTATAAAGTGATGTAAAATACTAAAAACAGGAACATGTCTGCGTTTTGTAAAGTTTCAACATAATAAACAGCACCAGCTGTCCTAAGCAAAAGGATGTAAAATTACTGAAATTAAAAATCCAACGGGCCTTAAGGCCTTGTTGTAAAAAAAAACAAGTTAAAAAATGTCATTGAAAATTACACGTTTGCTTTAAACATGAACATTGACATCAACAACAAGACCAAAGAAAGTTCAATAATTTCTTATTTTATTATACAAACTTGCCCAATGTTCACCAAAACCGCCTTCATGTGATTGTTGCACAGCAGATAAACTGACAGAAGTTAATTTTATGCTAATTACACAACACTGAAAAAATTCAGGAGGGCTAAGATTATCTTTATTTTATGTTTTTAACATATCATGCATTTTAGAATTGGTTTTATTGGGTTAGCAAAGTTTTGTAAAGTTTTATGGCATTTTTAACTTGTGTTGTTTTGTATGAATGAGCCAGATGACACGGATAAATCTCCATCTCATGAAACGTTATCCAATAAAGTTATATTGATTGATTCAATCAACAGGTTCAGCAGGTTCACTAACACCACGTATAAAAACATTGTTTGACCCAAGGAAGTTTTAAGGCAAGGAACGCTACAGTATGAGTTGCACCTGAGGCGTCTCGATTTAAGCTTTTAAATTAAGGGTAAGATTAGAAAATGTTCAAAATTATTATTATTATTAAAATTATTAGTATTGAGTTTCTTAAGAAGATGAAAGTGATGTGACGTCTTGGGTTTTAAATTCTGACTGAATGAACCTCGGCTGTAAAACATGTTCATCGGGTTTGTTCTGTAAATACTGGACCTTTGTTAAAATTCCTGTTTACAACAATGTCTTTGTGTTTTTCTCATTTCTGCTTGGTATCAAAGTATGAGTCATTCCTGTGCAGGTTTCCACTCAGTAAATATTTCAGTCTAACGTTTTAAACCTGAGTTTTCAAAGTGATTTACGTTCATCTGTTTCACACACAGTAAGAAAAGAAGAAACATCGAGACTAAACTGTAGATGTTTTTATTCTGCAAACTCTGATCTAACATGTACAGAACTCTCTCTCTCGACACCCTGCTGGTCGAGGCAGATGACTGTCCCTCCTGAGCCTGCTTCTGCTGAAGGTGCTTTCCTTGTGCTCGCCCATTGGGAAATTAAATTAAAATACATCTTTGATGCAGTCTGCCAGATTCTTTTGATTTTTTTTTTTTCCATTTGGGATTTTGTAATAAACTGAATCTGACTGCATCAACATTAGTCAGATCCTAATTTGTTTGGGAAAGAATTGAATTTATTGTAGTGAACTGCTGCCAAACTTCAATAAACTGAGTTGAATGGTTTGCCTCAAGTCAGAAAACAAAGAAAGGTAGGTCCAAATAAAATTATTCTTTATATTTACCTTGATTTAGGTGTTTTATTACAGCTTCAGCGTCTCCGGGGTTAGGCAGCACGGTGGCGCAACTGGTAGAGCTGCTGCCTCTCAGCGAGCAGGTCCCTGGTTCAAACCCCGGTCCAGGGGCCTTTCTGGGTGGAGTTTGCATGTTCTCTCCATGCATGCGTGGGTTTTCTCCGGGTGCTCTGGTTTCCTCCCACAGACCAAAAACATGCATGTTAGGCTGATTGGTAACTCTAAATTGTCCCTAGGTGTGAGTGAGAGAGTGAAT